GGTGATGTGGAAGAGACATGAAGAAGAGGGGACACATGTTGATGTAGAAGAGACATGAAGAAGAGGGGACACATGTTGATGTAGAAGAGACATGAAGAAGAGGGGACACATGGTGATGTGGAAGAGACATGAAGAAGAGGGGACACATGTTGATGTAGAAGAGACATGAAGAAGAGGGGGACACATGTTGATGTAGAAGAGACATGAAGACGAGGGGACACATGTTGATGTAGAAGAGACATGAAGAAGAGGGGACACATGTTGATGTAGAAGAGACATGAAGAAGAGGGGACACATGTTGATGTAGAAGAGACATGAAGAAGAGGGGACACATGTTGATGTAGAAGAGACATGAAGAAGAGGGGACACATGTTGATGTAGAAGAGACATGAAGAAGAGGGGACACATGTTGATGTAGAAGAGACATGAAGAAGAGGGGACACATGTTGATGTAGAAGAGACATGAAGAAGAGGGGACACATGTTGATGTAGAAGAGACATGAAGAAGAGGGGACACATGGTGATGTGGAAGAGACATGAAGAAGAGGGGACACATGTTGATGTAGAAGAGACATGAAGTAGAGGGACACATGTTGATGTAGAAGAGACATGAGAAGAGGGGACACATGGTGATGTGGAAGAGACATGAAGAAGAGGGGACACATGTTGATGTAGAAGAGACATGAAGAAGAGGGGACACATGTTGATGTAGAAGAGACATGAAGACGAGGGGACACATGTTGATGTAGAAGAGACATGAAGAAGAGGGGACACATGTGATGTAGAAGAGACATGAAGAAGAGGGGACACATGTTGATGTAGAAGAGGACATGAAGACGAGGGGACACATGTTGATGTAGAAGAGACATGAAGAAGAGGGGACACATGTTGATGTAGAAGAGACATGAAGAAGAGGGGACACATGTTGATGTAGAAGAGACATGAAGAAGAGGGGACACATGTTGATGTAGAAGAGACATGAAGAAGAGGGGACACATGTTGATGTAGAAGAGACATGAAGAAGAGGGGACACATGTTGATGTAGAAGAGACGTGAAGAAGAGGGGACACATGTTGATGTAGAAGAGACATGAAGAAGAGGGGACACATGTTGATGTAGAAGAGACATGAAGAAGAGGGGACACATGTTGATGTAGAAGAGACAATGAAGAAGAGGGGACACATGTTGATGTATAAGAGACATGAAGAAGAGGGGAAGAGACATGAAGAAGAGGGGACACATGTTGATGTAGAAGAGACATGAAGAAGAGGGGACACATGTTGATGTAGAAGAGACATGAAGACGAGGGGACACATGTTGATGTAGAAGAGACATGAAGAAGAGGGGACACATGTTGATGTAGAAGAGACATGAAGAAGAGGGGACACATGTTGATGTAGAAGAGACATGAAGACGAGGGGACACATGTGATGTAGAAGAGACATGAAGAAGAGGGGACACATGTTGATGTAGAAGAGACAAGAAGAAGAGGGGGACACATGTTGATGTAGAAGAGACATGAAGAAGAGGGGACACATGTTGATGTAGAAGAGACATGAAGAAGAGGGGACACATGTTGATGTAGAAGAGACATGAAGAAGTGGATTTTGCATAATAGGTGACCTTTAATATATTTTTAAATGGAGCAGCAGTAACGAAATCCCTCGGAAATGTCTCATCAAGTTGGATAAAAATTGTATTTCTGATTCTGATTCTGATTGTGAATATGAAGTGTGTGTGTGAGACAAAGTGCTCTTACTCTCCGTAGGATTTCCCCCGTGCTGCAGGTCGAGCCGAGTAGTAGAAGAGACGGAAGTCGTCCATCCAAACCTCCGCCGTGCGACGAGTGTTCCTGAAACACAGAGTTATAACCGGGGTCTTTATGAGGTAAACAGTATATTTGCTATTTGGGCTGAAATGTATTATTGGTCATTTGTCTCAGAGGACTTTACAGTTTGTACAGAATATGAATAAGACACCCTCTGTCCTTGCACCCTCACATTGGATACGGAAACACCCCCAAAGAAACCCCACAGTTAAAGGGGAACAATGGAAGAAACCTCGGGAGAAACAGAGGAGGGGTCTCTCTCCAGGACGGACAGACGTGCGATAGATGTCGTGTGTAAATCAAAAAGATAATACATTTACTGTGGATACCCGGGAGAAGTTAAAAAAAGTCTCTCGACGCGTCAACTTTGTGAAAGTGAAAACATCCAGTGTCTTCCTATCCACATATATATATATATATATATATATATATATATATATATATATATATATATATATATATATATATATATATATATTGTGTTTAAACCTGCTGTAAACCCTCCCTTCTGCTGTACTTCATTTATTCCAGCTCTGTTCATCTCACTGCGCTTTACTCACCCACGCTGCTTGAACAGAGGGGCACATTTCCTCCATCTCTCTCTCCCCCATTTACTCATTTTCTCTCATTCTCCTTTTCTCTCTCTCTCTGGTAATTAGCTATTAGCTGAGTTTCTGTGAGTTGTGAACTATCTCATTGAAATGACAGAAACCCTCCATTACAGGCAACACACACAGTGGCGTTGGCGGTTTAATGAAAGGGGAAGAGAGAGAGGATATGAGTTGCTTGTAGGCGTATAAACATAAATACGTGTCATGCACAGGCTCACAATTAAAAACACACACACACACACACACACACACACACACACACACACACACACACACACGAGGAGACACCGCAGCAGGCTTCGACGAGGGAGAAACAGCATAATCTTTGTAATCAAATTATTAAGCATATTCCTCACACACAGTGCCTCCAGCTAATTAACCAGCAGAACAACATGCGAGCAGACATCAGATCACAAACATCAGGCCATCGTGATACGAATAAAACACATCGTCGTCTGCTAAAAAACAGATGCTGCCTCGATAGTGGCCATCAGGGAGAAAACAGAGCGACTGCAGGAGGGAAAAGTCTGGTTTTTGTGTGGATTAGTCGACAGAAAACCATACGTTTCTACGAGCCGTTTGGCAGAGGCTTTGCTCTAAAGTGCCGTTGATCAGCGGGAGTCTTCGGTTTGGGAACTAAACTCATCCGAGCTCTCAGTGCTGGTGCCTTTCTCCGCCTATAAAGCCACAGAAGGATCCCCAGCTTCCAACCCTGGCAGTGTTAATGCCTTGCTCACATGCTGAGGTTCGTGACTTACTGACAGAGGTGGGGACTCGAGTCACATGACTTGACTCGAGTCAGACGAGTCGCATATTTTTTGACTTGAGACTTGCTTGACTAACATTGATAAAAGACTTGACTTGACTTTGACTTGGTATTCATGACTTGAGACTTGACTTAAGCTTGAGACAGATGACTTGAAAGGACTTGACTTTTTAAAATTAAATATTTGCGTTTGTTTTTGTATTGAGATATTACATTTAATTTTTTCTAAAGGTGATTGGGTGATTATAGCGCCGTGCGCGCAAACCTGGCAACCCACTAGAAGGCAGGAGCGTCAGTTAACATGGCAGCGGCTAGCGTTACTCCACAAATAGTGAAGTTTGGATTCAAGGATTATGTTGTCGATGACGCTAATAAGAAGAGAACAGCGGTATGCAGGGTCTGCAGCATAAAGATCAGTGACATGACCACCACAACATCCAACTTCATTCGTCACTACAAAAAACCCACAGAGAAAGGTACGTGAATGTGTTGTGTTAGCTAGAAAGCTAACGTTAAGTTTGAGCTACGTTAGACAAGGCTATACTATACCATACTCTACTATACTATACCATACTCTACTATACTATACTCTACTCTACTATACTCTACTATACTCTACTATACTCTACTATACTAGACTATACCATACTACTAGACAAGGCTATACTCTACCATCAGTGTTCGAATTACCCATTTGCTTTCGGGGGAGCCCTATTTTTCAGTGCACATCCTGCTACTAAATATGTCACACGCATGCTCTGTTGACTGGCGCAGCAGCACGGATTCGATCAATTGCTATAAAATCACTCTGCTACTACTACAGACGGTGTCACTACACCGGCGGCTGTGGCCGTTGTTGAAGCCTCTTCAGGCTCCGCATCGGCAGGCCTCTCCCTCGGTGTGGAGCTGTCAAACTCGACCCGCTTACAGCCGGCCAACTAAAAGTTGTTCCGTTCACGTTGTCATTTTTAGACTCCTTCACTTCTTTGCTTGTGAATCCAAAAGCTGCGACGCTTGGCTGTTTTCTTTTTGCCATATTTTTTATTACAAAGCCAGAGTTAAAAAAAGATCAATATGAACATTTCAAATACCGCGCCGGCATCGCCACCGTAACCATAGCAACGTAAGTAGCGTAAAGAATGCAGCGCCGCCACGTACAGATGGCAACACCCAGAAATATTCACAAATATAAAACAAATATTCAGAAACTGTAATGAACAATAACTATTATTTATTTCAAGAACTGTTATTTACAGAAACTCAACATTTCTAATCTGTGTGACACATATGCACGATTGTTTTGGGCTCCCCCTATTTATCTCAAAGTCGGCCTTCAGGGGAGCTCCCTCCCTCTTCGGGGGAGCCAAGCTCCCCCTGGCTCCCCCCCATTTCGAACAGTGTCTACCATACTATACTATACTATACTCTACTCTACTATACCATACTACTAGACAAGGCTATACTATACTCTACTATACTATACTTTACTATACTGCACTCTACTATACTGTACTATACTGTACTATACTATACTCTACTGTACTGTACTATACTATACTCTACTATACTACTAGACAAGGCTATACTATACTCTACTATACTGCACTCTACTATACTCTACTATACTGTACTATACTATACTCTACTATACTATACTCTACTATACTATACTACTAGACAAGGCTATACTATACTCTACTATACTGTACTATACTATACTCTACTATACTGTACTATACTATACTCTACTATACTATACTCTACTATACCATACTACTAGACAAGGCTATACTATACTGTACTATACTGTACTATACTATACCCTACTATACTATACTAATAGACAAGACTATACTATACTGTACTATACTATACTCTACTATACTGTACTATACTATACTCTACTATACTATACTCTACTATACCATACTACTAGACAAGGCTATACTATACTGTACTATACTGTACTATACTATACCCTACTATACCATACTACTAGACAAGGCTATACTATACTGTACTATACTATACCCTACTATACCATACTATACTGTACTATACTATACTGTATTATACTATACCCTACTATACTATACTACTAGACAAGACTATACTATACTATACTGTACTATACTCTACTATACTGTATTATACTATACCCTACTATACCATACTATACTGTACTATACTATACTGTATTATACTATACCCTACTATACTATACTACTAGACAAGACTATACTATACTATACTGTACTATACTCTACTATACCATACTACTAGACAAGGCTATACTATACTCTACTATACTGTACTATACTATACTCTACTATACTATACTATACCATAATATACTGTACTATACTCTACTATACTGTACTATACTCTAATAGACAAGGCTATACTACAGTATACTATACTATACTCCTACTGGATATTACATCATTTCCTTGTGTGACATCTAGAAAGAGGCCCTTTCTCATGATTCTAGACTTTTCTTTGTCCTTACTTCTTACTATATAACACTATGATAACGTAGTAATGTTTAAAGTGCTCTCGGTTTGTAATCTGAATGTTACCAGAGTCCTCTTTGTAGCGATAATTAATCATTTATACGACATCAATTCACATGCCGTCTGAGCACATTAGTCCTGTTAATGGATTATTGGAGTGCCTGTAAACATATTTCTGTCTGAACTGTTTGAAAGGGGCACAGAACAGAATACAGCTTATGCTAATAGGATGATATTGTCCTCGCAGCTCAAAGGCTCGCAGGCAGCTGTAAATCCACTTTAACAATGACGTGAACAGCTTTCAGTGCGGCGACACACAGCTCAGACGATGCTTCCTGCTTTATATATCAGTCAAACAGGGAGTCAGTCAGCAGGAAATGTTAGTGGGATTATTATTAGTTGGAGACGAAGGTTAGTGTGTAAGTGCCAGGCTTTCAGAGTACTGGATTTCATGTCACGGGATAACTTATGTTAAATATACAAGATGTTGCATTGTTGAAGGAGCCTGAGACTACGCTGTAACTATTGTGCATATGACAGTAAAGCGTTTTAATCTTTTGAAAGAACAATCACAAATTCACAAAAGCCACAACCATGAGTACATGCATTCAGAAACACAGAAACACTACTTCACAAAGAGCCCTTAAGTTATGCATTTTTCTGATATAGGCCACTCTGACGCCTCCTTTCTGCCAGTTAACATGAATTAAAACAAACACTTTTACATTCACACACTTGACCTTCATGCCAAATTCAAGCCAATATGAATGGCTAGAGATACAACACAACTCTAAACGCCTATTGACCTTAAATGAACAGACTAATACAATACTAGTAGGTACTACTCAGGGCCGCCCCTCCCTACAGGCCGATCACGCAGACTGCGTGGGGCCTCACCTCGCGGAGGGGGCCTCATCTTGCGGAGGGGGCGGCCCTGGTACTACTACTAAGTGTTGCTGGAGTTTTTACATTTCTGTGTGCTTTGCATTGAGCAGCAGACCTCTGGCATCCCAAACATTTATCAATTTCAGTCTTTATTTAATAAAGAAACCCCATAAAAGTACATTTTTGATACAGCAGCTTTGTTAGGGAGATCGACATTGATCACAAACATCAGGCCATGGTGATGATAATAAAAGACGTCATCATCTGCATAAACACAGTTGTTGCCTGTGTAGTGGCCGTCAGGGAGGGGAGAGGGCAACGACAAGAGGGAACGTTTACTGCTGGAGTGGATGAGCTGGTTGAAACCAAAGAAAAAGTATCTATGAACCGTTCAGAAGCGAGACAACTTGGTGCCCTGCTTCAGTAGGAATGTGGATATTAATATGAGTAAAGACTCGTTCAGAGACTTACTTGATGTAGGTGTTGGCGTTCCCCTCGGGGAAGACGTACGGGTGTTTCTTCCTGAAGACGTGACCCACTCTGCTGCAGGGCAGGATCTCCAGAGAGCCGCCGCACTGCCACACCCGGAACGAGATCTCTGCAAAACACCCAGCATGCAACTGTCACTGATTGTCTGTTGTTGTTGTTGTTAATGCTTATGTTATATTCACTATGATTCTTATATAATTACTTTTCTAACTTAAGATGGTCGTTACCAGAGATGTTAAAGTACACACATCCTTTACTCAAGTAGAAGTACAGATACTCGTGTTTAAAAATACTCTGGTGAAAGTAGAAGTACTGACTAAACTTCTTTACTCAAGTAAAAGTAAAGAGGGCTTTGAAATGTACTTAAGTAGAAAGTACCCATAACTACCAGCTGTTTTAAAGAGTACCTGACCTCCCTTTATATTAATAGAACAATAATGTCATTGTTAGCTAATGAATGTTTCCATGCTGAACAACGGCAACATGACAACGTTTTCATTGGTCCCTCTTCTTTAGAGAAGACCAGGAAATGATGGATACACGGATCGTGTTCAAATCAATAGGCACGCAATGACTCTAAATAATAATGATCACGCCACCAAACACACATTCAAACTAAAGGAACCAGCCTGTTTGGAAAATGTGAGAAGTAGAAAGTACAGGTATTTGTGTTCAACATGTAAGAAGTAGAAAGTACAGGTATTTGGGTTCAACATGTAAGAAGTAGAAAGTACAGGTATTTGTGTTCAACATGTAAGAAGTAGAAAGTACAGGTATTTGGGTTCAACATGTAAGAAGTAGAAAGTACAGGGATTTGTGTTCAACATGTAAGAAGTAGAAAGTACAGGTATTTGTGTTCAACATTTGAGAAGTAGAAAGTACAGGTATTTGTGTTCAACATGTAAGAAGTAGAAAGTACAGGTATTTGTGTTCAACATGTAAGAAGTAGAAAGTACAGGTATTTGAGTTCAAAATGTAAGAAGTAGAAAGTACAGGTATTTGAGTTCAAAATGTAAGAAGTAGAAAGTACAGGTATTTGTGTTCAAAATGTAAGAAGTAGAAAGTACAGGTATTTGTGTTCAAAATGTAAGAAGTAGAAAGTACAGGTATTTGTGTTCAACATGTAAGAAGTAGAAAGTACAGGTATTTGTGTTCAACATGTAAGAAGTAGAAAGTACAGGTATTTGAGTTCAACATGTAAGAAGTAGAAAGTACAGGTATTTGAGTTCAACATGTAAGAAGTAGAAAGTACAGGTATTTGTGTTCAAAATGTAAGAAGTAGAAAGTACAGGTATTTGTGTTCAAAATGTAAGAAGTAGAAAGTACAGGTATTTGAGTTCAAAATGTAAGAAGTAGAAAGTACAGGTATTTGAGTTCAAAATGTAAGAAGTAGAAAGTACAGGTATTTGAGTTCAAAATGTAAGAAGTAGAAAGTACAGGTATTTGAGTTCAACATGTAAGAAGTAGAAAGTACAGGTATTAGTGTTCAACATGTAAGAAGTAGAAAGTACAGGTATTTGTGTTCAACATGTAAGAAGTAGAAAGTACAGGTATTTGAGTTCAAAATGTAAGAAGTAGAAAGTACAGGTATTTGAGTTCAAAATGTAAGAAGTAGAAAGTACAGGTATTTGAGTTCAACATGTAAGAAGTAGAAAGTACAGGTATTTGAGTTCAACATGTAAGAAGTAGAAAGTACAGGTATTTGAGTTCAACATGTAAGAAGTAGAAAGTACAGGTATTTGAGTTCAAAATGTAAGAAGTAGAAAGTACAGGTATTTGTGTTCAACATGTAAGAAGTAGAAAGTACAGGTATTTGTGTTCAACATGTAAGAAGTAGAAAGTACAGGTATTTGTGTTCAAAATGTAAGAAGTAGAAAGTACAGGTATTTGAGTTCAAAATGTAAGAAGTAGAAAGTACAGGTATTTGAGTTCAAAATGTAAGAAGTAGAAAGTACAGGTATTTGGGTTCAAAAGGTAAGAAGTCAAAGTAAAAAGTCATCAGAAAAATAAGTAGTGGAGTAAAGTACTGATACCAGAAAAATGTACTTAAGTGCAGAAACAAAGTATTTGTAATCCACTACTTCCCACCTCTGGTCGTTACCCTCGGTGTGTAGCGTCCTGTGTTTTCGTGCAACTCATCTTGAGGCTGAATCTTATGTCTCTTGACAAGAACGCAATGTTTTTTCATCTCAGTTCGAGTGTTTGTTTGTCTGTCAGCGAGCAGCCCCAACTTTTGTCAATCTTGAACTAAGGACGAAGCAGCAGAACCCATTTCGTTTTGGAGAGGATGCCAAACGCTGGTCGGATCGAGGCACTTTGTGTCTCATTCTCCACATGGGTAAATAGAGCATTTATATGCTGAGGTCAAGTGGTGTCAAAACAACTGGAACAATTATTTCCCGATCTAGAAAACCCACTCGAACACCCCTCAGGTAGGAACAATAACTTGCAAACAGATATCAATGTGTTTAAGGTCGTTTATAAATGAAATAACACACTTCCTCTTCTCTGTAGCGTCCATGTTGTTTTCACATTTCAACATCAAGTGTCCCTCAGTGTGTAACTCTTTTTCGGCTTGGTTTCGAGTGTCAGTATGTCCATTTGCCTGTCAGATAGCAACTTTCTGCTTCAATTTTGGTCAATCTTGGTTGGAAAGATGAAGCACTGACCAAGGTAGAACACATTACATTTTGGAGGAGATGCCAATCGTGGTGCGGCGAGGAGCCATTTTTTGTTTCACTTTCTCAACATCAAGATTTTGCATTTAAGCTGCATTCATTAAGTCTGCATTCATCAATAACTTGCAATCATATATCAATGTGTTGTTTTTGAATGCTTTGATGAATGAAATACAACACATCTTCTCTGTAGCGTCCATATTGTTTTCACATTTCTAAGTCATGTAGTATTTTTGAGACCTTCTGCTCTTCCTACATAACTAAACATACTTTCTTAATTAAGATGTGTATAGGTTACTTTAACAGCTGTCTCTAATACCCCTTTCACACCAACACGGTTCCAGGGCCGGTTCGGAGCTAGAGCCTGAAAAGCACCGGTTTTTCCTGTTCACACCGCAGCGGAGCCGCCTCTCAGCTCCGAAACCCGGTTCGTTTCAAGCACCAAAAAATTGGCGGCCTAGAGGCAAGAACCGCATACGTCACGCTTACGTCGGAGGCGGGATCAACCTGAGCAATAACAGTTTATGGCGAGTACGGCAAATGAAAGTTGTAACAAGCAGTAGCGCTGAGCAAAGTGACTAGAACGCAACCACACACTTATTAAAAAAAACACACTTTATAAAGTCAGGCAACACTAACCAGGCTTCGTGTGATTCTGTTTATTTGTACCTTACTTTGACCATCCGTTCGCTGTTATTGATCATTGTGGAGAGCAGGCAGCTTCACGTCGGGCCTAACCACGCCCCTTAACTGTGATATAATGACCATATACCACGGCCTGTCGTGAGCTATTGCTTAATTATAGCAGCTATCGGATGGAATCAATACATGGGCTGCACAGGTTGTCATGTCCGACTATTACAAGTAGAATCATAATGAAAAATACGCCGGTAAAATGTGCCTGTAGAAAACGGCTTATGCCACAATAGGATAGCAACAAGTAGTCAGTTTAGCTTCGGTTGCTATGCTAACATCACCCATTTTATAGCAGAGAAACTTTCATAACAGCGTTGTGATGCCACACAGCGGGCAGCACTGCAGCGGTCGGTAAATGCCGCTGAAACACATTAATAAACAATGAACCACGGCACTCTGGAGAAAAGTATAAGGGTTGGAGAAGTAGTTATTTAATTTAATCTGGCTTCGTATGATTAAAAGCAACACGATCATCGACCCGACGCCGTTGGGGAGAAAATCAGCGACGTAAACGGTGACGTCATGACGCAGCCGCGGCAGCACCAGTCGGGCTCTGGGCGGTGTGAACAAAACGGGGGCTGAAAATAAAAACCGGTTCCGAACCAGAAGAGCGCAAGAGGAGCTAGAACGGGAACGGAACCGCGTTGGTGTGAAAGGGGCATGAGTGGAGCTCGGCTTGTTGTTCATTTGAAGTTTTTTCGTTCTGTCTCCGTTTTCTATCCCAAACGGCTCTGAATATTTAATGATCTGCTGACGGACTCTGACTTGTTTTGTGATTCAGTCTGTGTGTGAAACTGTATATGTGTTCGACATGCACTGCATTGTGTTCATTCAACCTGCTTTTACCTGTGTGTGTGTGTGTGTGTGTGTGTGTGTGTGTGTGTGTGTGGTGTGTGTGTGTGTGTGTGTGTGTGTGTGTGTGCGTGTGTGTGTGTGTGTGTGTGTGTGTGCGTGTGTGTGTGTGTGTGTGTGTGTGTGCGTGTGTGTGTGTGTGTGTGTGTGTGTGTTGTGTGTGTGTGTGTGTGTGTGTGTGTGTGTGTGTGTGTGTGTGCGTGTGTGTGTGTGTGTGTGTGTGTGTGTGTGTGTAAGCTAATTGACAGGGCTGCTGTCTCTCTGCGAGCTCTGAGGATACACAGAGAGAAGTAACAGAGTTTCCCTAAAGAACGAGACGAGAACTTTAGAAAGTTTTGCAGCCATCTAGAGAAAAAACGAGGGAGAACAACGGAAGTGCGGCGGTGAAAATGAGAGCATGCACTGGGGTTTGATGAGAAAGAGGAGAGAGGGAAGTAAAGATGAAACACAAGAGAGTACAAAGGAGAACGAGAGGAGACAGCGAGATACTCAGATACTGACATGGAGCCTGTGAGACTGACAGAAGCATGACAGAGAACAAATGAGTGTGTGTGAGTGTGTGTGTGTGTGTGTGTGTGTCTGTGTGTGTGTGTGTGTGTGTGTGTGCACATCGAAGAAAGAGAGAGAGAGAAGAAAACCAGTCTAACAGTCTCATTGATCGGAGAAAAGCAGCAGTACCGCAATCAGCAAACTGACTCCTACACTCTATTACTGAGCGAGCGCACACACACACACACACACACACACACACACACACACACACACACACACACACACACACACACACACACACACACACACACACACACACACACACACACACACACACACACACACACACACACACACACGCTCAGATGACTGCAGGCGGGCAGCAGCAGGAGAGCCAGATGTTCTGCTGGATGGATGTCAGACTTTTTTCTGCTGAATGAAAAGTTCACCTTCATCCGTCTGCAGCGCTGATATTAAAGGACCTTTGTGTTCCTTTTCGGTTAACTAAGCAGCCAACATATTCACTCAGGTGATTTGTCAAGAATTTCCTGCATTATTTTAATGATAGCTATCTGAAAATACAACCCTGGGGCTCAAGCAGGACGCGATATAAGAACACATTTCCTCTTATTTCTGTTATGTTATTTTCATTACACATTGATTTCTGCTGTGCTTTTTCTAATGTGTGCTCCTCTCTTAGGTAACAGAACATTCTGAGAGCACTTAACATGATAAAAACTAACACCTTGTTAGGACAGTCCTTACACAATGTAAGTGTAAGTGCAAGAAAAGACACATTTTAAACTGGAGGAACATGAAGAAAATGCTTAATTTAATCGAATTTAGGTCAATGCAGGTGAGAGTAATTGATAATGATGACTATTAAATAAGTAATACTGTTCCAGCGATACAAATGAAGACTTAAAACAAACCATTTTAACATATTATCGTATTGTCATTGCAGATTCAGAAGATGATGACACAATAAGGCATCTGTAAGATATACATTTAATCCACTAAATGATTCTTGTTTTGGTTTATAATGATTTATTACGTGTGTTCATCAGTAAAAGACGCTATAAAGAGACGTACCGAAGTTCTCCCCGCCCCAGATGTCCATGGCGGTGTCGTACTTCCCGAGATGATTGAACCACGACCTGTCAATCACAAAGAGCCCGCCGGCGATGATGGGAGTCCTGTCAGAGAGAAAGGACATGTAGAAACAGAGATGGACTGTGTGTGTGTGTGTGTGTGTGTGTGTGTGTGTGTGTGTGTGTGTGTGTGTGTGTGTGTGTGTGTGTGTGTGGCCTAGCATTACTATACTTGTGGGGACCTAAATCTGTTTACAAAGTCACGTGTGGGGACTCGCCTCCCTCATGGGGACAAAATGGAGGTCCCCATGAGGGGAATCAGTCATTTTAGGGTGAAGACTTGGTTAGGGTTAGGGTTAGGGTTAGGGTAAGGTTTAGGGTTAGGGTTAGGGTAAGGTTTAGGGTTAGGGTTAGGGTAAGGGTTAGGGTTAGGTTTAGGGTTAGGGTTAGGGTAAGGGTTAGGGTTAGGCATGTGTTGGTTATGGTTAAGGTTAGGATAAGTCTCCAGGAAATGCATGTAAGTCAATGTAATGTCCCCTGAAGTGATGTATACATGGTATGTGTGTGTGTGTGTGTGTGTTTGGATAATACAGCAACACACACTTATTTTATCAAACAGAAAAGCTTGAATTCCTCCAGAATCCAATCAAAGGGAAAGTAAAAAGACTCATTATCCACTCCTGCTGCTCTGTGGGTTTTCCAAAGGAGAGCTGTTTTGGTTTGTTGCCACACACACACACACACACACACACACACACACACACACCACACACACACACACACACACACACACACTCTCTTTCTCCCACACCACACACACACACTACACACACACCACACACACACACACACAACACACACACCACACACACACACACACACACACACACACACACACACACACACACACACACACACACTCTCTTTCTCTCACACACACACACACTCTCTTTCTCTCACACACACACACACACACACACACACACACACACACACACACACACACACACACACACACACACACACACACCACACACACACACACACACACACACACACACACACACACACACACACACAGAGACAACAGAGACTGAATCATGATCCGAACAATGTGACGAATGAAGAGCTGAGGGCCAGAACGTGTCATCAAATAGCCTCTGTTTATCACCAATTATCCCCCGTCAGTGCCTGCAAACAACACTCAGCGTGAGAGTGTGTGTGTGTGCTGTGTGTGTGTGTGTGTGTGTGTGTGTGTGTGTGTACGTGGGCGGAAGCACATAAAACCTTTTTCAAGCTCAATTTGTCCTTGTGTGTTTAAAACAGAGAGTGTGTGTATGTAAAACGCAGTGCTTTTTATGCGACTGAGGGAAATAAAATAGCATAAATAAAACTTGGAATAGAAATAAGAGGTGTAAAGGACGGTGCATTTTTGTGTGTGTGTGTTTGTTTTAAGTACTTAAATATGCGAAGGTCGTTTTACTAGAACACATTTCAAGGCTTATCAGACACAAAAACACTGAAAGGCATTTTCTGAAACCAGGAGACAGGGTCCTGGTGATCGCCAGGTAAAAAGTGAAATATTTGCTGTTAAATTAAAATGTTTGACTGAGTTGTGGGTGCATTATAAGATGCTGTATTTATAGTGCTATTATCGGTCTGGAAAGTGGTAGAAAGACACTAAATAAATACTCCCAAGTATGTTCATTGTAGGTAACAGTTGTCTCAGTCTTAAGCATCGTATTGCTTTTTACTCCATTTGTTTGATATAGTTACAACATGTGAGTTAGTTGAGTATAGTAGCAATACTACACATTAAGGAATATGATATTACTAGGTAAAGTCATGCTTTCAAAAGTAAAAGTACAAGATAAATACCTTTAAAATGTATTTAATATACAAAAACCCTCTTATCAGAATAGCCTAGTTCATGATAATATGTGTTGTACTATTGTCTTCTAATTAATGACGAAGAAATAATTATCGGTCACTTTGCGGTAACTACTACTTGGTAGCGTGTGGGATCAATAAAGTTTTATCTCATCTCTTAACTTATCATAATACATAAAAACATTGGTGGATAATATTTTGAAATGTAAACTAAATGTGTAAATATGAACCTTCCAAGTATCTGAACTGTAATGGAGTGAAAGTATAAAGCAGCAGGAAATTGAAATGTTCTTAAATTAACATTAATTTAATTTAATTAATTATTATTAATATTTACTTATTGAATTAAGAGCATTGTATCTTGCAAATGAAGGTCTTGTTTCCATGTGTGTGCGTGTGTGTGTTCCCAGACGAACACGGTGACTCAGTCCGCCCCCGCAGGTTTACTGAACACACACACACACACACACTGACATCCAGGTAGAATCAGACCGATATAACAGACAGGCCAGACCATAACACACACACACACACACACACACACACACACACACACACACACACACACACACACACACACACACACACACACCACACACACACACACACACACACACACACACACACACACACACACACACGTCCATCTGTAAGTGTTTATCACTCCGCCGCCTCTTAAAAACAACATGCATAAAGTCAGACAGTCACAAGTTGGCACTGCAGTAAATCTGGGCTCCTGCCACCAATCTGACTTCTGAAGGAGCGCTGCCAGAGCTCCTGATTTATCACTGTGTGTGTGTGTGTGTGTGTGTGTGTGTGAGTGTGTGTGTGTGTGTGTGTGTGTGAGTGTGTGTGCGTGTTGTATGCCTTCCATTGTTTCTTCCTTGACCAAAAGGGGGCGCTGCAGCGATACCAACTCGCCTGCACACACTTTTTTAAAACAACTTTTTATGTATTCCAGTGACGTGCGGTGAGGTTCATGGCTGGTGAGATTTACAAATATTATAGCCTATTTTGACCTTAATCGAAATATTCTGTTATTTTCAAAAGCTTTTTTAGTCTGATGCTGTGATTCATTTTAAACAGACCGATCAACAAAAGGATACCCAAAATCTAAATATTGGATTGTTCTTTCTAAGTAAGATCCCATTTTCATTACAGTTGTGGTCTTACCTTGACTTGCATGCTATCCTTCTGGACAACAATCTCTATTACTGTTTTGTAAAAGTCCTCCTTATCTTCCTCTAGTTTAAAAAGTCTAGTTTGTTGTTTGCGGTAGAATAACAGTAGCAACAAGAACCTGTGGGCTCACGTGCGCCCCCTTCAGTGAGGCAGAGGTTATGGCTGCCTCCCCTGGTGATTTTTTCATTGCCGTTGTACGATGAGACCAGCGAGCCTAAATATCATATATACGTGAAATAAGTTATTTAGAGACTATGGATGGCGAGGATAAATGTAATAAAGGGATCTACAAACATTACATTGGTGACCTACAGTGAGATGGGAACAGGCATGCGCTTAGGGCCCGCTTTCCAGCCAGTTTCTGTGGGGTGACGCATTCTGAGGTGAGGCAGAGCTCATCTGTGCCTCACCTCACCCCACAGTAACTGGCTTGAGCGCGCTCACAAAATAAGTGGCCGCGCTAAATTAGTGCCCGCGCTCCAGCAAGTTACTGTGGGTTTACGTGAGGCAGTGCTCGTCCCTGCCTCACTTCTCATCGCTCCCGTAGCGGAGCTCGGCCAATTTGCTGATTTTGACTATAAAATGCGATTGGAATCATACAGAAATCACATTTACACAAGATCAGTGGAGACATTTTATTATTATTACTATTTAGTTTTTCTTTAATTGTTTTTCCGTTACATTGGAGTATGACAGGTGAGGCTCTGCCTCCCCTGCCTCCACTGACTGCACGTCGCTGATGTATTCATATACTGAACTTTCTGAACGTGGAGTCTGTGTGTGTGTGTGTGTGTGTGTGTGTGTGTGTGTGTGTGTGTGTGTGTGTGTGTGTGTGTGTGTGTGTGTGTGTGTGTGTGTGTGTGGTCTTACTTGATTGGCTGGGTCGGGTCGGTGCGTAGAGCTCTCTGTTCAGGTGACAGCTGCTCCCACTTAAAATGGAGACTCCAATCAAAACCTGCGAGAAAAAAAAAAACAACGTATAAAATCACCTTTATTTATAAAACATACCGTACTGTACCAAGGCTTAACTAAATTAAAATGAAGTGCCGTATGAGATATTCAACTGATAAGAACAGTTACTACACTTGATCTTATAAATCACTATTCGCATAAAGCATATGTCTGGAGCCGTAGGACCTAATTGCATTTTGCCTTTATCAGTAAACCACATTTTGAACACTAGACTGGCAAAAAAACGAAAAAATGTTTACATTGAAACACACCTACTAATCCATCTGTTTCAGCGTGCACAACAAGTGTGTGCATGTGTGTGTGTAGGTGTATGTGTGACTTGCTCATAGTGCACTCCCATTCCCCATCTGTGTCTCGACACAGTGTGTGTGTGTGTGTGTGTGTGTGTGTGTGTGTGTGTGTGTGTGTGTGTGTGTGTATGTGTGTGTGTGTGTGTGTGTGTGTGTGTGTGTGTGTGTGTGTTTGTGTAGGTGTGACTTGCTCATAGTGCACTCCCATTCCCCATCTGTGTCTCGACACGTGTGTGTGTGTGTGTGTGTGTGTGTGTGTGTGTGTGTGTGTGTGTGTGTGTGTGTGTGTGTGTGTGTGTGTGTGTGTGTGGATCAATGAAAGTCCATTTTATAACCATCTTTTTTATGTTATGAGAGACAGCTTCATCTATAATTAAAATGTCCTTTGTGAGACCCACCATTGATTTCGACATCTCCATTGTGTGTGTGTGTGTGTGTGTGTGTGTGTGTGTGTGTGTGTGTGTGTGTGTGTGTGTGTGTGTGTGTGTGTGAGTGGATGTGTGTGTGATGATGTGTGTGCGTGTGTGTGTGTGTGTGTGTGTGTGTGTGTGTGTGTGTGTGTGTGTGTGTGTATGTGTGAGAGGATGTGTGTGTGATGATGTGTGTGTGTATGAGACAGGGTTATTATCAGCATTGATTGGCGGACCGCTGTTACCAAGAGGAGAAGATTGGATTAAGACAGGCTAATGGAAAGAGAGCGGGACTTTGAAGCTCTCAGGAGAGAAAGTGAGCGATGGCGCTGTGTGTTTTGTTCTCATGTATTATCCGGCTATTTGGTTTCATCTGTAACTGTAGTCAAGCTAAAAGCAAAAAGAAGCTCTCCTCAGATTGTCCGTTGCACATCATCTATCTGCGGTGCATTAGAGGACAGTTAACAACCGGCGTCCTCCACTTACACTACTATTATTTGGTTTCAAAAGCTTTCAAAACTGCATTTCAGCAACGCACAAATAATGATCCTCGAGCAAGCCTTTTCAAACTGAGGTTAATCCGGCACATTTTGAAAGGAGCACTATTACGCTCACTTTCAGGTTCAGATGTAAACAAAGGAGTCAAATGGAGGAGTCTCAGGCGCCGTTTACACGAAGAGAAAACTGCTTGTATTTGCATAGTTTCGCGTGCGTATAGCCCTATTATTTACATGAGGCCGATAGAAACCGACCCCACAAACGATAATGGGTCCCAAGGTGGATAGATTTGCAAACGAAACTCTGGGGGGGTCAAACGAGTCCGTGTAATCGCCTCTATACGAATATTTCCTGAAAAAATAACGATAGCCCCACCTCTCCCCACCGCTCCCCACCTCTCCTCACCTCTCCTGCTCACTGCTGTAGCATGGCCAGTAGCCATCTGTAACGATCAACTATCAAAAATAGCTGTGTTAATTAAACGCACAAGGGGTTCTTGAATGAAATAATATTATAAAAGGCAAACCAGAATTGTTAACGCCCAATATACTCCTTAAACAAAATAAACAGAGTCAGATTTCATGCATTGATCCATTATATTGACAATTTTCCAGCCAAACAACACAAACAAAATTAAACAGTCCGCTCTGCGATACACCAACATTGTCTTTACTGCCTAATCCAGGCCATTATTGTTCATTGCTCCTGCGCCCGTCGGCGGCAAAAAGAGAAATGTTTATAATCCACACAAAAAAAGGAAACACAGGACCGGCGTGTCCCAGAGGAGCGATCTCACCCGGTGTTTGTAGAGAATATCTCTCTTTCTGAGCGTGTCCTCTCCACGGAGACGTGCTTCTTGGTCGGTCGATGCAATATCCACAGATTCGGTTTCTTTCAGTTAACTTCCCCGTTGCATTTATCCATATATTTACATGCTGAGGAAATGACTATATCCCGCTGAATACCAGCAATCGCCACACACACTTCCTCCTGTCAGTAGCTACTGCTAGTGCTACTGCTACTGACCATGCTACAGATATTAGTGCAAAAATATACAGCTCCTCTACCACAACCATCAGCAACAAGTGGACATGGAGAATTACATGAACTACATGTTGCTAAATCCACCGCGGGGCATAAACAGAAGGGTAGCCATGGCAACATTGCTGCGGGGCTGCTCCGGAGTCTTCTTCGCGGCTTTTGGTGTATTTTGTGGCGGAAGTTACAGCGCCACTTACAGTCCCGGCATATGTACTACAGCGTTTCCAGCGGTCTCGTTTGAACAGACACGTTAAATGAAACAAATGCATGTGAACGGAAGACTTTTTTGAATACGCATACTGTGCATAAATGCAAACGTTCCCGTGTGCACAACGCCTCAGGCAGGGATTGTGTGGGAGAGAAACTCAGGGATTTTAGCGTTTGCAGACCATTTACATGCACTAAAACCTATATAACACTCTACAGGAAAGGAGAAACTCAAAAAAGGCACAACAGGGCCTCTTCAATGTTATTACTGGCTGCTATACTTCATTGCTTTGCTAAAACCTATATAACACTCTACAGCAGGGGTGTCAAACTCAAATACACAGTGGGCCAAAATTAAAAAATGGGTGCTAGTCGACGGCCGGACTGGTTCAATGTTTATTGCAAAAGTTATTGAAATGAACTTATTGCACATATTAAACCTGGAACTAACAAAGCTTAAATGATTGCCTATAAAAACAACATTAAACATTAAATAATCAGTTGCATTAATTTCTTATGTCTCTATCTGCAGAGTCATTTCTTATGATTACATTTCTCCACAGGCCAACAACAGCTTCAACAAAACTATTTCCCTCAAAGAGAAAACCAAACATGTCCTGTTGTCGTGAGAGAAAAAGTGCAGAAGGAAACATCCATGTAAACTCAGTGTGCTGCTCTGTGATGCTAGCTCAGATACTTGGCATCTCATCTTGGGTGCAAGTTCATCAATGTTTGGGGTCAGGCTCTGAGCTGAGGAGACCCTCAGGATGGAGTGAAGGTGTGCGTGCAATATACCGGCGGGCCAGATCTAATAGTAATTAGAAATTATCCTGCGGGCCGAAATTAAATCCACCACGGGCCGATTTGGCCCCCGGGCCTTGAGTTTGACACCTGTGCCTTACAGGAAAGGGACAACCCAAAAAGCACAACAGGGTCTCTGTAATGTCATTACTAGCTTCTATACTTTATTGCTTTTTTATGTTTACTTACTTTTTCACCTTGGATGTTTGAACCACTTTGACCTGCACTATTATCTGCACACATACAGGTAAATATATTTAACAATCCGGACTCAAATATGTTCATTTAATTCATTTCTTCTTTTAACAGTTACTTACCTGTATATCATTTTAATTGTATGTTTAATTGTATTATTCCTGTGTGAATCTGTAAAGTCGTGATTTTCGCTCTGACTGAATTTCCACACAGGGATTATTAAAAGTCCGTCTTATCTTATTTGATCTTATCTTAAATGTCCCTGCTATGTGACGAATAAAGGATTTCTTATTCTGATAAATCATATTTCAAAGAAAAAGCTACTCCCTCAGCCGAAACCTCAAAGTGTTCTTGTTTCACGACAGAGAGAACAGGTTCATGAACTCATCATGAAAGGCTCTTTAATGAATAATAAACCCTGTGGTGTTTCTCTCCCTGAAGGTGCCTCGGAGCTATTTCTGTTTTCCTAGAGAGAAGAGTACGTTTGTGTTTACCTCCACGGAGATCAGCAGATGCCGCCACGTAGGCAAAGGTGTCCATGTTGATGATGTCGATGATTGGACTGACCACACAACTCGGGTCCTGGACACAAGAAAACACACATTTAAGAATCAAAGACGTTAATAAAATACAAATAAACCACCTTTTAAAATGCAAAAAATACCACAGAGAATGACAGAAAGAGAAAAACGACTGAGAAGGTGAAAGTGTTCTTGTGGGGCAGACCATCACATTTCATTGCAATTAATTCATTTCTCAGTCAAATGTGTGTGTCTGTGTGTGTGTGTGTGTGTGTGTGTGTGTGTGTGTGTGTGTGTGTGTGTGTGTGTGTGTGTGTGTGTGTGTGTGTGTGTGTGTGTGTGAAGCAGACTGTATGTTTTCCAAGGTCCTTTCAATATAGCACCACATTAAAAGGAATTTCAGTCATCGAGCAGCAATCATGCACGGCGCATATTTAGCGAGGTGAGAGTGACCTCTACCTCACTTCCCTCCCTGTTATTCACTCTCCTGGCATCAATGTCACATTGTAGAGCCATTTGAGAATAAGACGTGCTGAAATATTTCTCTAAATTAAAAAGGAGACTTCATCAGGAGGCAACAGAACGAATAAATAACTCTGTGAATACAGAACGCACACAAGGACATCGGCAAATTGGCTTTTTTTATTTATATTGGTGTTTGAGATAGGAATGGTAAAGAGGCAAGACTGGGAGTGAAGTCTCAAGGACGTTGGAGGGGAAAACACGATCAATAGATGTGGTTTCTGATGGATTTAACTGGACAAATAAAGAAGCAGAAACACCAGAAAGTTTTAGGTATGATATTTTTGGGAGTTCCTATGTCTAACCTGAACTACACCAACACTAAACTTACCAAGCCATTATACATAAATGGATATTAGTCACTCAAAAAGCCGTCTTTGACATTATTACACAGCTTAGATGAATACTACATTCTGATTGGTCCATTTGGACATTTCAGAGGTTGTTAATTTGCGATAACACACCGCTGCTAAGTATAACATGACCGTTGCTAACGAGAACAGACCAAGGGACGATGTGCAGTCATATCAATCCGCAGAAAGAAGTCCTATTGGGTTACGTTTTACACATTGGGGATTTCATGTCTACTGTTTATCTCTGCCTGTAATTTGGAAAACTATAATAAACGTACTCTCATGTCACCTCGAAAAGAGAAAGCAAATCACAAAATGTCTTGTATTCTACTTCTACGTATCTTAATAAATAACTATTTTATAACTAATAACTATTTACAAGATCCAACCATGTCTGCAGGGTAAGTGAAGTGGCTTATTATTAATGATGTGCACACAGTCAACATTACTCTACAGAAGTAATGCTTCATATTTGTGGCTTTGGGTATAACTAAACGGTCCAAAAACTCAAGCTCACGCAGTTATAGTCAGTATAGTTTCAGTAAACAGCACACAGAATAGATGCAAGTCTGTACATGCACATATCAAATATAGACACCTATCACTGCCCATATATTGCCAACATCACTCCTTATTAAACCATTAATACAGACAACTGTTATGGATACAACTCAGTTATCATCCAGCAGTGGCTCAGTCAGTTGGGGCTTGAACTGGGAATCGTAGGGTCGCCGGTTCAAGTCCCCGACCAGACGTAAGAATGGAGTGTGGACTGGCACATGGAGAGGTCCCAGTTCACCTCCTGGTCTCTGCCATGGTGCCCTCGAGCAAGGCACCCCTCCCCCACCCCCCTTTTCTTCCTGGGCGTTGTACAATAGATGCTCACTGCTAGGATGGGTTAATTGCAGAGGTCAAAACTTCTCTGTGTATGCTGTACTGAATGTATGTTCACATGTGTCACCAAATAAAGAGGGTTACATTCTCTAAATCTTCTTCATCCTCTGGCGTCTTCATCCCAGCTACTTGTGTTGTATTTACCCTCCCCCTCTCAGCATCATCAACCCCCAATGTGTGACAAAAACAAAGAGGGTGTCCTTATAAAAGTATGAAGTGGCAAAGTTTCTGCATTCTGTTGGCATCCTTTGTTCTTTACAAGGACTAAAGTACAAACCACACATTCACACAGAACAGCAGAGCAGCCTGGAGGTCCGAGTTGAATCACAGAGCGTCCCTCTATTAGTTTGGTCAAACGGCTGCATGTGGTATTTGGGAGCAGGTGGATCGGTTCTGGTCCGTTAGCATCAGGGTCAGAGCCAGAGGGACTGCATCTCTCTCGCATCATTACAAAGCACTGAGTCTGCTTTAATAGCTGCTCCGGTAACGACACTCAGGGTGAAGCATTCCCCCACATTGACGTTGTAATTGGATGAGTGTTATTTTCCTAATCTCTTGGGAGCAGTTTCTTGATTTCAGCCATTTCTCCTCTTTTTCCACGTGATTTGAAATGCAAACAGTTTAATGAGGAAATCTGACCTCCCTGACGTCCTGCAGCATCATCATCCCTCATGCACGTCTCATGCACATTATACAGTATAGGACCAGAAGGTTATATAAGGATGATTTAGGAAGTGTACGGTTTTAACATCCAACAAGGAGCATTTCAATCAGTGTCTTTGGCTGCTCTTAGTTTGTCTTTATGGAACACTTTTAGTTTTTTCTTACTTGTGCGGCATATTTTATGTGATTTAATAAAAAGAATGTACAAGTATATATTGACAGAGAAGTTGTGGGAAGATAGATTACAATCTGTTTTTTTTGTTTTTAGTCCGTAACAAGTCTGTTGATTTAGTTACTCAGTCGATTTTCATTGCTAAAAAACGCTGTAGCTACAGTATTGTGCATTTGACAATAAGAGCCTTTTATATCTTGAATGTAACTCATGGTTGTTAGCTAAGACAATCTTGACAACAACATGTTTATATAGATATACAATCTCAGTCAGGCTGCTGATGCTTAAAATGAGAGAAAAAATAAAGAGAGTAAACAATATATGTTACTTGTTAGACACTTTTAATATCCAAAGTGACTTACATACTCAATCCCCAGAGGAGCAATTTGGGGTGAAGTGTCTTGCCCAGGGACACAACGACATGCTGATTGCAGTGGGGGTTTGAACCTGTGACCCCCTGATCAGAAAACCAGTGTACTAACCCACTGCGGCCACAGCCACCCTAAACAAATGTGAAGTATTCAAAAGATATAACTTACAAACCTTTAAACTGAAATCAAAATCAACGTTGGCAATGTTTGCTCTGAAGACTGCAGCTAATGTCAACCATTTCCCTTTTTTGTTTTTACTATTATTAAAGAGGACCATATTATGCTTGTATAGGGTGTTAGTGCATGTAAATGGTCTGGCAAAGGCTAAAATCTATCCTACACACTGTTGGAAAGAAAAAAAAGTAAACTCATGGGCAATGCAAGAGAAATGGGTCAAAAGTTTCCTCTGGAAGTTGGACAGGACTTGAGCTCTAAATCAAAAAGACAGACGATTATGTTGACGCGAATATAACTTCATGGCGGTGTGTGAGTCTACACCGGGATCAATACCTCATACATTCAAATCTTAATATCTGACTATAAAGCGACTGGAGAGACAGTGACAGATGACTCTCCACACACACACACACACGCACACACACCACACACACACGCACGCACGCACCACACACCACCACACGCACACACACACACACACACACACACACCACACACACACACACACACCACACACACACACACACAAAGCGTTAGTATGATATGGATGGTTGTTGGTATAGCAGCAGAATGGGATCAGGCTCTCATCGATCGCGGCTCTGTGGATGGAGATCAAAGGTCTTTAATATCAGCAGAAACACTGATGACCTGATGCATTGGAGACGGGGGAGAAAGGGGAGAGCTGGGGAGAAAGGGGGAGAGAGGGGAAAGCTGGGGAGGTAAAACGGACCAGAGGAGGTGGTGTAAAGAGAGGCAGGAGAGAGGAGACATTGATGATGAGAAGCGAAAAGGGGAAAAAGGGGGTTGTAAAAAGTTGGAGAGAAGTGTGAGGAGAAAGGATGAGACATGGAGGCAGTGTTGACTCTAGAGTCTGTGGGGGCCCTAGGCAACATTCACTGGGGGCCCCTCGAACCAGCTTTCATCACCACACACACCGACATCACGTCCCCCCGGAAATGGAGGAAGAGGAGTTACATAAGGTGAAGGGAGATAAAAGGAAAAAGAGAACAGGATGAGGAGAGGTTTCAAGACAGCAAGATACCAGGATAGAGGAGATACAGTGAGTGAGAACATTGAAGTGAGACAAGAGTTTAAAAAAAGAGAGGAGAGAGGATTAGATGAGAGAGAGAGAAAAGAGAGTGAGATGAAAGAGAGGAGAGAAAGAGAGGATAGAAAGAGAGTATATAAAGGAGAGGAGAGAAAGAGAGGGGAGGGTGAGGACAGGCGTCGGTGAAGGTACAGACATAATTGGAGGCAAGGTGAGAACAGGGAGGTGATGAGCTGGCAAGTGGTAAACAATGAAATGGACCGATGGATGATGACGGAGTGATAGGAAGGAGAGAGGAGGTGAGAGGAGGGGAGAGGTGAGAGGAGGTGGGTGGAGTGAGGGAGGTGTGTGAGGGAGGCAGCACTTATTTGTTAATGAGAGGCAATCAGAACGACAGCTATTTTCTCCCACGGCGCTATCCACCTCGACCACTTGGAGTCATTACACACACACACCCACACACACACACAACACACAGCATGCACACATACACACACATCACACACACACCACACCCCACACACTCACACACACACAACACACACCCCACACCACACACATACACACACACACACACACACCACACACAAACCACAACCACACACACACACACTCATCACACATACACACACACATCACCACACACACACACCACACACACCACTCTCACACACACCCACACACACACTCTCACACACACACACACACACACACACACACACATACACCTTGAGGACTGGCTAAAGATCCACTTTGCAGAACGGTCCTCACTTCAAAGGTTAAACCTTGGTTGTCCCCACAAAGATAGCTGAACAAATAGCCCACACAACCACACACACACACACACACAAAAACACACACACAAAAACACACACACAGACTTTTTGCAGTGCAGTGCAGTACTTCATATTTCTGAAGTTGGCCTTGCCTGAAGTTATTGACACTCATGATCCCATTCACACATGAGTATAAACTCTCAAACACACACACACACACACACCACACACACACACACACACCACACACACACACACACACACACACACTACACACACACACACATCACACACACACACACACACACACACACACACACTTCTGTTCAAGGTTAGTCACGAGAAAAGAAAGCCTAATTGGGATTCAAACTATACGCCTACAGATTTTAAAATAACAATTATAAAGACACGTTGAAAATAAGGGAAAGTCTCCTTACCAGTTGTAAAATACATAAGATCATGCCAGTATATTGTGTGAGGGACACAATCACTACACCTAACAAGGACAGAGACCGTTAAGCAAACTTCTAAAATGAGTCTTTACTCACCGAAATGAAAATCTAGATAAACATTTGTATCGATTTCAACAGAATTTACACAGAATTCAATTGAAAATATGTACAACTAAATTAACTTTTAGGGCAAGTTTACAACATACTCTCTCCAGTAACAGGTTAGCTCTGAGTGTTAGCGATGCTTGCTAATGTAAACAAAGACCATATTAACGTCCAAAACATGTTTGCGCATTGTTTCTGATAGCAACGTTTCTGATAGGCCCGTGGGTGTAAAGCCAGCCCACATTTCAGATATTACGTCATATCGGATGCAAATCTGAATCAGCTCCGTTGGAGACCCGTTTTTAGAGATGTGGGTACGGAGGAAAAGAGAGAGGGTTTTATTTTCTGACACCGGGGACACATATTTATGTATAAAAGACATACAAAAGTGCATTTTGCATGATAGGAGACCTTTAACTATCGGTGTGTGTGTGTGTGTGTGTGTGTGTGTGTGTGTGTGTGTGTGTGTGTGTGTGTGTGTGTGTGTGCCTGTTTGATCCTCTGCAGCAGGGGGGGCAGCCAGTCCTTGTTCACCTCACAGTGGCTGTCCAGGAAGGTGAGGACCCCGGCCCTCGCAGCGTCGGCCCCCCGAACTCTGGACCTGATGAGTCCTGACAAACAAAAAACACACGGATTACAATCCCAGCTACTGTCCCTCTCGTGCCGGGGTGTCAACTCAAGGACTTCATTTGATGTTGGCCGGCAAGAGCCTGCAAAGCATATCATATAATACGTTTATTATACGTTTACATGCCGCTTTACAGAAGCATGTTTGCCCATAAACTACACGTCCACAAGGCATCTCATTTTGTGACATGCACACTGAAGAGACCTTGCAATGATTTGCCCTAGAGTTCTGCTTTCAGACGTAGTTAATGATGAAGTTATTACCCCTGTCCTAATCATCCAATGTAGAGGCAATATGCAATATAATACATTGTTTTATATATATTATATATGTTATATATGTATATTTATATAGTCTTAAAGTTACGACTGCCCTTGAATGCAACCTTAATGTTAATGTGGCCCGCGATGAAATTGAGTGTTGACACCCCT